TAGAATATACATTACAGAATATAGCCGCAAACTAAAACGTGTGCAGCTAGGGACAAAGACAGCGGCAGCAAATTTTTCTTGTTTTCCCTTTGTATTGAGAAAATATAAGAGAAGCATAGGGAGAGAAAATGAAGTTAAAATTCAGGGACAACTCTTTTTTTCAGATAGAAGAGGCAAGCTCAGCTCTGAAGAACATCAAGTCCCTTGTTCTTTATAAGCCTCATATAGGCTTAACGGAACAAACCATAAACCCTTAAAACCCCATAAGCTACAATCCCAAATATAAGTAAGATCACAAGGGAAAATTACCCCTCAAATGGAAAGCACTTCAGCAAAACAACCAAAACAACCTCCAAACCTTCGGAATTTGAAACGAACTTGCCAAAATGTTGTCATCACTGAAGGCAAATCAGCTTCAGCTCTGGCCCAGATTTTCTCCGCTTTTAAATTAACGCTTTGAACCCACCCAGCGGAGAGGGCGGGTGTTCATGTGCTCGTGGCGATGACAGCCATCCCCGGGTTTCCACCTCACACAGACAGCAGTGGAAGTCGCAGCCCGGTGGGCCAGTTTGCCGGGGTGAGCCCCACGGTACCCAGCGGGTGCCCCCGGTGACACTGCTCAGCCTGTGCCGAAGCCCTTGTCACCCCATCTTCAGCGCCTCCACTCCTCCCCGGGGATGGGCCAGCACCTGAGCTCACTGTTACCCACATGGATCATAAGTAACAACCATTTTTGCACACACACACACCACCCCCAGTCCCCCCCAGGATTTATGTCACCGGAGCTAAGAATTGAATCTAGCCCCAGAAGAGGCACAGGAGCCTACCGGCGAAATGATGACCAACCTCGTCCCTGTTAATAGTCTTGATGGCAGGTCAGTGTAGTAAGAGAAACTCCGTCTCTACGGGGAGCCTCTGCTAAATCCATCTGTATCACGCTGACAACATACCTAGCTCTTAATATGAAGACTTGGGATTGTAACAGGTGACAAAATAGGGTGTCCTGGTATCCCCTTGGACCCACCATGGGCTTTGCTGGGGCTTTCAGGCAGTCAGCGGAGAGATGGCAGGGAGCAGGGAAGCTAATGTAGGTCGCGGGGACTGCAGTTCTGATGAAAAGCTACAGTACTTTCACTTTTAATTTCATCAATGTAAATTTAAACCTCTGGCCTCCACAGGAAAAACCTGGAGCTAGTAAACACAACTGCAGCTGAACTTGGGGACTACTAACCTACATCTCTCCCAGCTGAAGGCATTCTGTTTGTACCCACATCTCGCCTGAGAGCGGTTAATGAAGATGCCAGTGGAGGTATGTCATACAGACAGACAGCATGAAAATAACTACATCTCCATACTGCCTTACTCATTTGATCTGCTTTATCTGATCACATCAATCAACGGTTATGATGTTTAATAAGTTCACACCTAAAGGAGTACATCAATGCAAACCCTTCAGGTCCAGGAAGATGCCTGAAGCAACTCACAAGTGTTATTTATATAGACAAGTACTGCTTTTTTCACTCCTTTGGGGGTAGATATTTATTTATTTAAGAGGACACAGCACAACACTACAAGTAACACATCAATAAGAATACTTTACTAAAGCTACCTTTGCCCCCGCGTCTGCAGGAAAGCCTATGCACCACAGTGGCGTGGTCAGATCGCTCTACCATTGCAAAAGCAACGTGTAAACAGCCTTGGAAACAATGTCTGTTGGATCTCAAAAAATATTTAAGTAGAAAAAAGCCGTCATTCAAAATGAAACATGGAAAATGCAGGGACTGCAAACAAGCAGTGTGTTGTTTTTCTATCCATCCGCCCCAAAAGACATTCCAGCAGACGTTGCTCCCTTCCAGCCTTCTGCAACACGACCTCAGAAAATGATGTTGCTACAACTGCCAGTGGATTGCAAAACACAAACAAACAAAAACTGTTCTGATTTTCCTGGGAGTGTTCCCAGCCAAAAAAGATGTGCAAGATTCTCACGTGGAACAGAGTACAACCTTAGAAACAGGGCAGCCAAAAGTCATGTACAAATAAGCCCTTAGAGCTAGGGCTTGGTGACCACCTTATGGAAAGGATTGCTCCATAACTCCTTCAGTGCTGGAAAACATTAAATTACCCTGGAGGAAACAAAACGGAGGGGATGCCTGAAAAGCATAATAAATTGGAATATACACTTACCACCCTTCTCCTCCCCATCTAAAGACCTAAAACCATGTAGACAGATCGGAACAAGCCAGCAATGCCATTCTGTGGCCTAGGTCTGATTAAGAGGGGACACTGGTACCAGTGACATGGCAGTAATGGAACAGTGGAGTAAAATGTCTTGCTTGCAAACCCTGTAAATGCTCCCATGCCCTGTGGAAGAGAAGGGAGAGAATGGAGCTCATAAAAAAAGGACATTTTGGTAGAGAAGCAAATGAAAGAATATTTTCCAGCATCCCTTAGTGAAGAAAAATCAGGTCATCTGGAGAGTGACTGCCTGCTCTGACTGGTCCTGCAGTACTTTTTGATACATGATGTCAAGGACTGCTTCATGTATCTAATAAAATCTTCAAGGACATCTGACCTTTGTCTAGTGCTGAGAGATCAAGTGACAAAGGCTGCTAATGGAAATGCTGCTGCGAACCTGCACCTAACTCTTGACTGATAGGAAACGAGCAAAATGCAGGAAAAAAAAAAAATGGGGCAATCTTGCCATAATCTTTTCAACCACCTCTCTAAAACAAAGAGCCCCGCCAAAAAGCCATTTTCCTTCTTAATCAACTGGGAAGCAGGTCAGGACAAAGACAAAGGTGTTTCAGCAGTGCTCAGAACTTGCAACAGGGAGCAGTTCGGAGGAGCTCAGATGCAGGTTTGCATGCTGCTACCTCCTTACAACACGATGCTTTGCAGCTTGCCCAACGCATCCACCAGCAGAGCAAGGTCGCCCTGTGCATTAGCTGGCTACATTATCATTATCAAATGGCATTCTTGTGAACTAAACCTCGCCACGACTTACGTAAGAATTTTCTGTTTTTCATTCCCAGCAGAAGCTTCAGTCCTCAGACTAATCTGCTAATAAGTTTCCCAATACTTTCAATGTCTCGATTCCCATGTCATTGACCTTGACCTGTACCTTGTTTGTTAAATCCAGAATCACTCTGCTTGAAATCAGTCAAGGCAGTACCTTTAAAGCAGGCCCTTTCAAAGATAAAGGCAAACTGGCCTGAATCCAACTAAAATTATTTGAAGAGAGCACATAAAACACCATGAGAAATACTGCAAGCGATAAACCGCTAGAAGTAATTTTCTAATTATTGTCAGAGTTTTCTGGATCCAATGCAGACAAAATTTAAGAGGCAGAATGACATTCCTAAACCCGTAGTGGAAATGAAGATGGGGCAGAGGAACATAGCAAACACTGCACAATCACCAGCACCTGTTCACAGAACCACAGAATCACAGAACTGGAGGGGACCTCAGGAGATCATCCAGTCCAACCCCCCTGCTAAAGCAGGTTCACCCAGAGCAGGTTGCACAGGACATCGTCCAGGCGGGCTTTGAATATCTCCAGAGAAGGAGACTCCACAACCCCCCTGGGCAGCCTGTTCCAGTGCTCTCTCACTGTAAAGTTGTTCTTCCTCATGTTCAGCTGAAACCTATGTTTCAGTTTGTGCCCATTGCCCCTTGTCCTGTCACTGGGCACCACTGAGAAGAGTCTGGCTCTGTCCTCGTGACATCCACCCTTAAGATATTTGTATTTATGAGATCAGTTCCTCAAATATCCCCGTCCGGCTGTTTTTTGGGCGTTTCCTGCAGACACCCCACCTGCAGTCCTGAACCAGCCCAAAAAAATCATAATTAACCAGCAGGAGTGGCACAAAGGCAGTACAAAGTACACGGCATTAACGGCGCTTATCTCTACCCTGTCAGGAATATGTTTGTGACAGCTTGCCCTGGCTTTCCACCTCTGCCTGCAGCCTCATGCCCGGCACGGGTGCCCACGTCCCTCTCTCTCGAGGTGGCAGGACCCACCAGCTCTCCCAAACTGAAGAGCCTGGGTCTTTCTTTTTGCTTCCAGCCGTGAGGGCTCAGCTGACTGCGTCCTGCCCTTAGCCACCCCCTCACCTCATCAGATGGGATACTAAACTGCTTAGCAGTATTTCACTTTCCACCGTGGTATAAGGAGCCCCGGTTAGTAAAGGATTAGCAAGTATAACATTAAAGTGTTATATATACACAGAGAGTTGCCTGCCCTAGTCTCTGCTCAATCTCGGTCACAGGGAACCTGTTAAAAGGTAGGAGATGCCAAAAGGAAAGAAACCACGGACAAAGAAGGTGATCAGTCTGGACTGCAGTGGAAGTGGCTGCATACGTGACACCACAGGAAGGAAAAGGAGCATGACCAGCAGCAAGCGGTAACTGATGTTCAGATGTTCTGGATGGGCAGACAAATGGAGCAAAAGAAGGAAATAAATGGGTTTTTAAACACTTCAAATACAACAACAGTCGCAATTTAATGGCCATGGTCATTACAGGGCAAAAGGGAGAACCAAATTACTGCAAATGAACAGGAAAGCCTGTTAGCATGTCAGTGATACTGTTTCAGATTTTTTTTAAACAGAAAGTAGCCTCCCATGAAGGTAGAGAAATTAAATAAATGATCTGACCTTTGTTTTTTCCCAAAGGTCACATAACCAAAATTTGTTTTTCATCTCCAAACATATTCCTTTTGCTATTCTTTTTCTTAATTGAATTGTCCACCGCTGATTACCTTCCTAACTTGTGGATTTTGTGCAAACTTCTCTCCATGGCAGATTTGCTAACTAGTAAAAAGCCAGGCTACTCCTAAATTAATTTCCCTATCACACAGCTAGTATAGTAGAATACCCTCTATTCTCATCACCTATTCTTACCCCTTTTCTTTCATGCGGCTGTTGTAAGAGCACCAATAAATCTGCCTCTTGCATCTACCCGCTTCATGTCATGACCAGATGTTGTAACCACACACAAACCCGTTTACATCAGCATCTCGTTCAAAGATGCTCTGTTTCTTCTTTCCTTTGCAAAGGGAATATAAGAGTCCTTTGGCACCTCTGTGCAGGATCTGGTGGGCAACAGAGAAGGGGAAGAAAGCCATCTTCCCAAAGATATGATTTTCCCTGAGGGTGCCCTGAGGTGCTCCAGCACGTCGCAGTGTTCTCGCCACAGCCCGCGCCAGCGGCTGAACCGAAAATCCACCCAGGCACCAGTCACCCTCGCTGCCCCCGCACTCGGCGGCCCCATCACACAACTCGCACACGCTGAGTGAGGCTGGGCAGCTTGAAGCCTTCTTGCTAAAACCAGCACGATCCAAGCGCCTGCCACAGTCTCCACAGGCTGGGCACTCCACTTGCTGTGCATTAAGTACACATTAACAACAGCCTGCTTTTACAAGCCTCTCTACTTGGGAAAGGTAAATGCTATCTCTTTGAGGTTGGTAATGATCAACGCAACTGCGTATTTGCCACCCAGCTAACCTAAGTGCCCAGAGAAAAAGTTGTAACACTGTGTATTCAACAAGTTTTTCCACTTTCATGATACCCTAGAGCAAATAAAAGTTTGGTTATGTTTACTTCTTTTGGGTTTGGGTTTGTTTTTTTCTTCCTTTACCTGTAGCCTGCTTTGAGATTCATGAGTGTAAGCATGCTATAAATGCACAGCAGAGAGTTTCACAATTACTCTGCATCTGGACCGAGATTTCACTCCAACATGTTTTCCAAAAGGCAGCCAGCCTTGTTTAGGGACCTATGGCAGTGACTCTCCTCCACTGCAAGGTTTTGCCTACTTTATTTTAATTTCTCTGGCTCACTGGGACTCCAGCCCACTGAAAACAGACATTTTTGAGACCTTGACCTACACCAACAATGACTGACAAGCACAGACATGTGCCCCTGTCTTCGTCTGCGTCCTGGACATGGTACTGCTGTTTTGGGGCCAGCCCGTACCTGCGCCGACAGCCAGCAGTAATGGTCTTGGGCATGACCTCTGCTTTGGGGCTCCGAGCTGCTGTCTCCACATGGTCAGCACAGTGCAGGGGTGCTCCAGCTCACGCGGAAATTTCCAGCGCAGCCCTTTACTTTCCTTCTTCTTGCTAGCCTGAACCACCGAGGTGACTGCATGTGCAGAGGGAGGAGCGGCAGAGAAAAAAGTCTCTGACAAAAAAATGTTCCGAGTCCTCTGTCTTCTACCGAGAAGGCACAAAGTCCATGTTCAAAGTGCCCTTCGGTTCATCGGTTTCAGCCCTGCGGGCAGCGCAGCCCCCTCCTGAGCAGGCAGAGCCCAGCCTGCCGCTCCAGTGCCCCGACCAGCAATCCCAGCAGAGCTCCGGCGTCCCTCGCCCGAGCAGAGGCTGGCAAGCACGACAGGTTGGGCCAAGCAAAACCACATTTAGTTCTGTGATTCATTGTAAATTATTTGTTTTCAGCCTACGGTTTATGTTTAGTCCCTCTAGCTACTAGTGTACCAGCAAGAAGAATCAGCATCTCCCTGTCTTAGATGTTTAGCAATCTCACACGACACTCTTGACTTGCTCAAAGACGTATCAACCCCGCAGTTGCAGAGGTTTGTTCTTTCGGAGATTGAATTCTTACAATTACAGCTTTGAGCTTCTTGTTCACATTTCTGAGAAATGCTTGATCTGTGCTATAGCTGCCACTCCACCCATCCCACCCCACCCTGGCAGCTTTTGCCCTAAATAAAACAAGGGTGTTACATGGCTACAAACCAGATGATGGACCTAATTAGACTGCTGTCACAACAGTACCAGTCCTCATTACCTAAATCAGCTTGTGCTTCTTTCTTCTTCTGTGTATTTAAGTATTGTGGTGATACACACCAAACTCCCCACAGCACTGTAACTTTTGTTCATGTCTCGGAAGTGTTCTTGTTTGCTTGGATGGCGGGAAGAATGAATCCCATTTCTACTTCCCACGCACTCCTACTAAATAATACCAATAGTACCGATAAAAATCAAACAATACTGGTAATACTACTACAAGTAACACGCTAAATGATCCTGTTAAGTAATAATTGAAGAAAATGGGTTCGCTCACAAAGCAGGGAAGTAAGCATGCAACAATGTGGCCCCATGTCACTGAAACTCAACCCAACCACACCGCTACATTTGCATTCACAGAAAGACTGTAAACTTTGATATATTCAAATGATTTGGCTAAATCTGGTACACGCAGCCTGTGCTAGGCTGACACCTTCCTGAGAGGGCTCAAGAAAATGAATTGGTTCTATCAGACCTCCTAAAACCTAGAGATGACAGGAGGTGTTAATGAGCAAGAGTTTGGGAGCTCTTTGGCACCAAGAAAAAGCTGCCAGTGATGGGCCTGTCTGAATTTAGCGGCTGCAGTTATCCAACGGAGAAATGTTCTCAAGCAGCTGCTTCTCTTTCCCACCACGGTATATTGAAGCATTTTAAACCATGGAGTGGTTTAAACCATAGGGGTGGCATGTTAAGCAGCCTTCTGGCGTACATCCTGCAGCCAAAATGAAAATGTGAAAGTCCTGGTATGAAGCTTAACCACCCTGCAGCTAACATAACGGAAAAGTGACAGAATTCAGGCTTGATGTCCTGAGAGATGCTGGCATGGCTTATTCTTACATGCTAGTCCATTTTGGACAGCGTGAACTGTCCTGGAAAACTCCCCGCATCTGGGGCTCCCTGAACCCAGCAGGACCAGAGCTCCTGCACACAAGGAGGGCTCCTTCACTGTTTAGCTCCTTTACTCATCAGCTCTCCACATGGCCTCTCTGGGGCCATAATTTTAGACCAAGAACTGTAGTTTTTCCCTCATGCAAGCCAAAGCTCTGCATGAGACATTTCCGAGACTTCAGGTCAGCCTCCTGCAAGGGCAGCTCATCCAGCACTGCTCGAATGCTCCAGCCCCCACTGCCTCTTTGTCTGTCTGGAAAAAAATCTCTGCTTCCCCCAAATTAAACATTCTACAAAGAGGTAAACTGGGCTGAGGAAATATTTGGCTCTGACGGATCTGAGGAAGAAGACGGCAGACAGGCAGTGAGCAGGTTGGGGAATGAAAGTCCCCACAGCCACCTGCCAGCAAGGGGCACCCACCACTGCTCCTGGGGCTCCCTGGGCTGCGAGTGCGTGTCGCGTGAATGGCGTCCATACCTGACTCTTCAGTTTGTAAATTGTCATTTGCATGGTGTGCCCTGGGGCGAAACACAGGGCTCTGCCATCCTTGCTGAAGCTGTCAGGACTAGGCTAAATAATGGAGGAAAAAACATGGAAACAAAAATTCCGGTCATGGCTGTGAGTTGGGTCAACTAGCTACAGAGTGAAGGCAGGTCCTTTTCTTTCTTTCTCTCCTTCAATGCCAGACTTGTTTAACGAGGCTCTCCTTGGTGAGTTTTCTTTTATAATTAACAAATGAAAAGGAAACATGCTTCTCTGCATTTAAAAAAAAATATCGCAGCTGCCTTATGGCAAGCCATTTCCATTTTGAAGACTGGGAAAGGGCTTTGCTGCCTCTGCTTAAATACAGTCGTACTTTTCAGCCTTGTTTAATTTGGGAGGGAGAGGGAGAACGAGCGACTGTCTTAAATGACTGAGGATTTCTGCCTTCATATTAAATGATAAACACTAACAAAATAACAGTGAGAAACAGTCTCTAGCACGCAGGCTGGGGCAAATCTATCACAACAAACACAGCGGGTGGCTGAACTCACAAGGTCTGAAAGACTATCTCGATCCTCAGCATGTGCTAACCACATATGCTTTACATTTAAAAAAAAAAAAAAAGATCTCTTGATGCCTTACATAGGCTCACACAGCTCCTCCCTGCTACATGTCTATTAAAATAAACCCGGCAGTTTGAGTTTGCTCTCATGTAGGGGGGAAGGTGAGGAAGGTATATAATCTCTCCACTTTTCCTGGCACCAGAACAGACCCGCAGACGCCAGCCACCACTACGCGTGGGCAGGAAGACGACTCCCAACCATTAGGACGTCCAAACTCAGGGAGTCTCTGCTTTCCAAGCGCAAAAAAGTTTGCCTGCTTCAAAGATGGGGCTTGGCAAGTTTGGGGAAAAAAAAAATGTAAAGACCAGGTGAGGGGCTGCATGACCCTGCAGGTCCCTTACAAAAGAAAACTGGGCTTGGGCACTCCTGCCTGCACCCCATCACCTCCAGGATGACTGTCCTGAAAGTGGTCACTGGGAGCACAGACCCAGGAGAGGAAAGGCTCGATGGTGCTTGGTACAGCGGGGTGTGATGCACGGAGATGGAAGAGAAGTCTCACATTTACCCTACCCCAGAGTAGAGCAGGCACGCAAACCTGGTGCCTTTAATTTGCAAAAGCTTCTTCCTCGGTTTCTGGCGCTTGCAGTGCCAATGCAATACCCCCCCCAGGCTGCAAGGCTGGGACTTGTTGAGCAAGATACACGCAGTGAAACTCTGACTGAGACTCCTGCGCGGCGTGACAGCAGAGAAACAACAACATAGAGCCGTCCTCTGCGCAGGCACCTTCCTACAAACCGCATCCTGGGGAGAGCTGCGGAGTTATCAGCAAGGAAGAGAAATTCAGAGAGGAAAGAAGGAGAGGAAAAGTAAGTTTGCAAGCATTAAGGGACAGAGAGACCAGGTCTGCCTTTGCACAGCCATATAGTGACTGTCAACCCAGCCCAGTCGCTATATGCTCTTCTGCATCCCTCCTGCATCCCTGTAGCCCCAGGAGCAAAGGCTGGGCTCTGTCCCTGGCAAGGTACTGAGCCTGCCTCCGGCACAGTGCTCTGCAGACCCAGGGGTTTTGGCTGCACCGATAAATGCTGGTAGCTCAACCTAAAACAAATAAATTAAAACGAACATTCCTTTGGGGCTGACTCATAGCAGAAGTGCAGTCTTTTTACTGGCCTGCACCTCCCTTCCCCCACGTGCTCGTCTCCCTCGTCGGCAGAACGACGAAGCGCTGCAGTTTACCCGAGACCAGGCTCCTGCACTGCCCCAAGCCAAGCCCGGCTTTGCTCAGCACTCCGCATCCCTGCGGAGTAAACCACAAATGGTTTACAGGGCTCTGGTTTGCAAGGCAACTCACAGCAAAATGCTTAAACACCTCACTCAGACAACCTCACCAAGCTGTGCCCGTGCACGGATCCTTCTTCTTTTATTTTGCTGCATCAGTGCAAGGATTTGGCTGACAACAGCGCATTTCTGGGAACTAAACGCTATTTGCTAGCCCGTTTCTAGTAAATATGTCACTTGTAATAACAGCACGTTTTTGCTTGGCTTGGTTTGGATCAGTGGCACTCGTTACGCATTGCCACAGAATAAGAAGAGGGCAAAGATTCCAGGGTTCGGTCCTACACTGCGTGTGCAGAAAGGAGAGAGAAAGGGAGCCTGGCTCTTAGAGACAACAGTATTTATCTGAGCTGGAAGTCTTGGTAACTAAAAGGTTTTGCCAGCTGATGCTGACAAGTCTTTGGTAGTCTCAACCCCCTTCCCCAGAGACCTCCTGAAGGACAGCACTGCTCCGATGGCGCTTGGCAGCCTCAGCCACCGCTGCAGCGGCTGCCAAAAGGGCTGTAGGGGAATTAACTGTGTCGCTCTCTGACTCCAGGTCAGGTCAGCCCAGGTCACGGCTGAGCTGGTGCGGAGAGACCTGCACCGACCCACCCGTAAGGGAAGCCGACAGGGCTGCCAAGCTGGTGTTTGCTCCCAGTTGCAAATTCACACACAGAAACAGCACGCTGTGCTTTTCCACAGAATTCTCTAGCTGCGACCATACATCTATCAAGGAAAAACAGAGGTAGCATAGGGTACCTCAACTTATTGGGCAGGGAGGGGAGGGAACATAAGCTGGGCAGAAAGCATCTATTTCTATAGCTGGGAAATACAGCTCAGCAACTCCAAGCCAAACATAAATGCTGCAGACAAAGCTGCTCTGCTGCCTGTCAAATAACACACGCATTTGTAGCCTGTCCTCTTTATCTGCACAGGCCCAGTGGGAAATCAGAG